GGGGCTCTGGAGAACCTGTGCAGCGTCTGGGCTGCTGCGCACGAGGACGGCATCCAGTCAGCCTGCGGGCCAAGGGCAGCACGGGCTGGAGCAGGAGGGAAGGGATTCTCCTGCGCCACTAATGGGGCACGCGATCGACGGCATCAAGAGAAGCACGACCTTGTGTAGGCCTCAGTGTGCGAGGAAGATGTTGAGCAAGTGCTGCAGGCTGAGGAGAAGGCCACCGTAGGGACTGCGGGACTTGGGAACACGTGCTCGCCGAGGACGCTTCGATGAACGGGGGCCTACCCAGAGCCTGGAGAAGAGTGGGCTTTGTGGGGAGGAAAGAAGCCCCCTTTCTCGGCGTCACCTCTTGGGTCGTTGTCGATGCAGTACGGCTCGTCCTTTTTGTCCGGCCATTGGCAGAAGAGCGCGGAAGAAGGAAGCCCTGTTGAAGCAGGAGGGGTGTCCCAGGGTGAAAGGGGGAAAGTGGCTTTTGCACTGAGGAGAGTCAGACAGCGGGTGAGGGTGGGCAGGGGCTCTGTGCGGTCCGCCTGCGTGAGTGGTCGTGAGGCGGAGGTGCTAAAGCCCTGCCACAGGCGGTATTACCGGCCGAAGGTGGGAGCTGTTGGAGGTAGCGGTTGCACTCTGCGCATGCTGAGGACAGAGTGTGTGTTGCCCTTGTGCGCAAGGCGAAGCCGTGACGGGGTTGTTTGGTGTGTTGCGGAAGTGTGGAGGAGGTTAGTGAGAAGATGGGTGATGGGTGTTGTTTTGTGAGCGTGTTGATGGGAGGTGAAGTGAGAGGAGGGCAGAAGGTTCAGGCGAGTGGTTTGAGGCGGTAGCATTCTGTTTGTCTGTGTGTGTGAGGAGAGGGCAAGGAAAGGGTTTCTGTGTTTCTGTGTTTCTGTGTTTCTGTGTACGTGCCTGTAGTGAGGCAAGCGCCTGAGGCGTGCGTAGAGGTGTGTTGGTGTTGTAGGGTAGTGTGTATGGAGGAGGAGTTGTGGCAGAGTGGTGCTGCTTAGTTGTGGAGGCGGGAGAGGTGTGTGAGGGGCGTGTGAAGGGCGTGTTGCCGGGCAGGTGTCTGTGATTCCTTCGATAGCTCAGCTGGTAGAGCGGAGGACTGTAGGCTCCCATGCACGGCCATCCTTAGGTCGCTGGTTCAACTCCGGCTCGAAGGAGTGCCCTTTTGGCTCTTGTCCAGGCCACGGGCTGGGTGACTGCGAGCAGACGGCTGCTCAGGGGCCGGCCGTGGGCTGGGGAATTAGCTCAAGTGGTAGAGCGCTCGCTTAGCATGTGAGAGGCAGCGGGATCGATGCCCGCATTCTCCAATGCTTTTCCGTCCCCTTGCCTGGTCATCAAGCCTGCAGCAGCGGGGACGCGTGTCATCCGTACTGGGGGGCTCTGGAGAACCTGCGCAGCGTCTGGGCTGCTGCGCACAAGGACGGCATCCAGTCAGCCTGCGGGCCAAGGGCAGCACGGGCTGGAGCAGGCGGGAAGGGATTCTCCTGCGCCACTAATGGGGCACGCGATCGACGGCATCAAGAGAAGCACGACCTTGTGTAGGCCTCAGTGTGCGAGGAAGACGTTGAGCAAGTGCTGCAGGCTTAGAAGGATATCAAGGGTTGCACGGTTTTTTTCTGAAGCATACGTAGTTTGTATCTTTGAATGGTATTAAATTCATCTCTTTTCGTGTTCAGTTGAGTTTCTTTTCTGTGTTCAAGTATGTGGTTGAGAAAATATAGCTAGGTTCAGAAAAAGGCTACTACCAGGATTATGGTCCTTAATGAGTTGATCATTTATAACCTGGAGTTGAGGTTTTTTTGTTGTCTTCCATATCTGTTGGGTGATTGTTTAATAATGATTATACGTAGGTTAATGAGGAGTAGTACAGGCCTCAGCATTCATGGTCAGAGATGCCAGGAAGGCATTATTTTTTATATATTTATTTAAATATTTTTAGATGCTTTGCATTTCTGCTTTATATACCCTGTACTATGATGGTTTTAATGAGATGAAATTTTTTGAGAGGAGAGTCAGTATAAGAGATCAGTTTGTTTACTTTATTTAGAATTTTTCTTACTTTGGAAGTTAATATGTAGAGATCCCTCTTAAAGATTACGTTCTGTAGGTTTTTATTGTTTTTACAAAATTCTGTTTCTAATGTGTAGTCTCATACATGTATTGTCTCCATTCATTGAAGGAAAATTCGTGAGGTCCTTATAATTTTTGTCTATCCTAAATGTGTGTTTTCAAACTCCTGAGGAAGACAGGAAATATGCTCTCTCTCTTCATGCTACTTCACTGTCAGTCTGGAAAGCAGAAGTCAATATGCAGTTTAAGTTATTATGACAAAAATTGTTCTAAGGAGTATTTTTGTAGGGAATTGAAGGTAAACAGATCTCCTTTGAAATCCTGCTGATTAAAAGCCTGTTAGCTCTATCTCCTTGAAAATTTGATTGTGCCAAACTCCAAATAAAAACACAGAGATGTACCTCTGTCATGTTTATTAAAAAGTAAATTTTGCCCTGGGCTGTGGTAGTATGATTAATACTGACTTAATTAATAATGGCATGAAACTCAGAATCAGGTATTGCTGGTTTTATACCTTGTACTAAAGATTACCCGTTCAGCAGCAGATTTGTGGATTAGCATAAATTAAATGATAATTAAAGCAAATCTATGAGACTGACTCATCATTTTATCTTGCAAATATTTACAGCTATTCCATTAAAAGTGAATCCCTTTGACATTTCCACTTTAGTTAGAAGCAGTCTTTTTTTTACTATAATTACTAATAAAGATGGATAAAGCACCACTGTCAGTTTTACCATAGATTGTTGTGTAAATCATCTGTATTCATGTTCAGCATTAAATAAAGTTAATTTCATTTTACATTCTTCCATGACAACTCTCTCCTTTGGGGACTAAAGAAAGCTTCCTTTCCAGAAACTTAAATGTAAAAGCAACAAGAAAACATGAGTTTTGATACAGAAGATGGTTTCCGCAGCCAGGCTATACTACAGGGACACAGAAGGTGCAAGTCATGAGTGAATGTGATACTGTAGTAAATTTATCCTCTAGTGCTGTAGTTATGCAAGACAGAACCGTGCAAAATCAATAGTTTTGTTTCTGTTGTGTTAATAGTTTGACCGTTCATTACTGCTACTGCCTCCATTGATCATATGCCTTTTGGGATCAGAAAGAGGGAGAGATGCAATTTGTTCAAAAACACAGAGTCCCAACAAAAATCAAGCCAAACAGTATATGAATAGATTTATTTCCTAACATTTCTTTCAGTTCAAATATATTTTTACATTTGATAGCAAGGTGTGTTGAAGAGAAAGTGCTAATACAGGGCAACCAACAGTGTCCATAATGATGCTGTAATAAAAGTTTTACTATACTTATTAAACCTGTAAATACATGCCTGGCATGTTTTGCTGTCAAGAATATCTATTTCACTCATGACATTTAATGTTCTTTCTCTTTTTAATAGCAGCAGTACAGATTTAAGAGCAAAAAGACCAATAAAGTCTTCTAGCCTTACTTCTAGGTCTTGTTACATGTCATCATGTTGATAAGTTGTGTTTGAGTAAAACTTGTTTAAAGTCTTCCTACCTTCTTTTTCAAAAGAGAATCTGCCAATTCCTTTGCCAGTATGTTTCAACTGTTTATTACACTCACCATTAGAACCAACTACCGTATTTTAAGCTTGAATTGATTTTAGAGTCCATCCACTGGTTTTGGTTATGCCTCTCTTCATAAACCGAAGACCCCTCTCGCACCTAACATTATTCCATTTAAAGGACATTACACATTGTAATCAAATAATCTGTTTTTATTTATTTTATGATAAGATAAACTAATTGAAGTCCTGTCTCTCACTCTTATCCTTGAATCATCCCCTTTGTGCATAGGCTATAATTTTTAATATCAGTAAAAGATGTTAACACAGAAACTGGATGCAGTATTCTAATACTGCACTTTGCAAGTGTGGTCTGCATTCTTTATCATAACACTCTAACCTCTTGTTTGGCTGAATTAAAACATTTTAGATTAAGTGCTCAAATTATTTGTGGGATTAAATTAATGAATTCACACAATCATCAGTATCATATCAGAATCTTTTCAGTCTCACAGACCAAAAAGAAATTGTAATAACAAATTCCTTACTCCAAAGGTTTTACTATTGTGTGGATGCCAGGCCCATAAACAATTTTTGCTAAGAGTTGTGGCAACAGGAAAAAAAAAGTAAATAGTTATGCTGATATTAAGTACCTACTGTCAGAATATTTTGTGTTGCTTCAATAAATTAAACTCATCTGTGGTAAACACTTGTGTAAAAATACAATACTGTGGAGTAAGTATTTTAACTTAAGAAGCAATTTTTCTGTGGGGATAATTTCTGGTTTTGCAGTTTGAGACAATGACTCATAGACGCAAACTCCTCTGTTCACCATTGATTTAACTGGTTGGTAACTTCAGGTTCAACTTAATGATAACATAATATCAATATATCAACTTCTGACTATTTTAGTATTTTGAAGGATGGCAGAGCACTGAATCTCACAAAGGCAGAAGCTAAATTAAACACCAAAAAACCAAACCAAACCAAAACGAAACAAAAAAAACCCACCACCAACTAACCAACTACAACAAAACATAAGAAAATTCAGATAGAATTTGTGAAGAAAATTGTGAAAGAATTGTGAAGAAAAAATCAGAAAGAGAGTAAAATAAGCAAAAAGAAATAAGGAGCAATCTTAAGAATAAATATGTTTTGCCACTGCAAGGTGGTGAATATAGCAATGTTAGCAAACACCTTCAGTGTCATAGTTTTGTATGTTCTATGGAGGGTTGCTTCTTGAACCACACATGCTGGCTGCTGTATACAGCACAAGCTCTGTGGAGAATTCATACAGTGTCTTTGCACAACACTATGGATCTGTAACTATCTATTGTGATGAGATTTTTAAAAGTTGCCTGTGATTTAGACACATTGCAAATCACATCTTACATACCTGTAGGACTTCTTAATCTCGTCATGTGTTGCTCCCTTCTGTAGGGCCAGGATTCCATATAATGCTTCCCCTGATGTTGACAAAGCACGTTGCCTTTGTTCAGCCATGTTAGCAGTGCATTACCAAAGCTGCTAATGTAGAACAGAATTTAAAATAGTACAGGCTACATGTATATGTGGATATGTATAATATTTCTTAGTAGAGGTTAAAATTACTTATATGATTTACATGAAAGTAAAACTAAAATAAAATCTCCTTTAAATTGTTCTCCATTCCTTAAGAGATTTTAAAGGGGTGTTAAAAAGTGGAAAAGCAAAAGAACCCACCACCACTAACAACAACAACAAAAACAAGAAGATAAGCTCTTGCACTATATATATCACTGCTCATAATAAAGATTTGGTGTTTTTCACACTGAATTCAGTGGCTAAATTTTCCACAGCACTAATGTCTGCATGTAGTATTTCCACCTAATTTTATTTGTGTTTATTTTTCTTAAAGTCAGATTCAGTTTAACCAATTATAGGTGCCTAATTTGAGTGATTAAATTTGAAGCTTAGTCAAGCAAGGCTCCCTGTACAGTCAACAGACAGAGATACATGTTTGGAGGACAATTTACCAAGCACTTTATCCCTATTACTCCTGCAGGGTGCTTAGGATGGCTGCAATCCCAAATCATGTGCCTAAAGATAGATGGAATGAATCTGGATCTAGGCAAGTGGGAGAATGACCTCTGTTTTACAGAGTATGGTGTATTATTTATTGTAATCTTATGTATAGAAAATACTTATATCCATCAGTATTTGGAGTGTTGTTTATAGTACAATAATTCGGACAGTTCATGAGCTGCTGATATATTTACCATTGTGACGTTACTTTATAATGTAAGTAAAGGCTAAAGACAGGTTAAAGATTTAGTTCCCTTAGATCTATCATTCATTCCTTCATGTATCTCAGAGGTAAAGAAAACAAACAAGCTACTCACAACTGAATGGCTCTACTACCTACTCATTGTTCATAGTTCATACTTATAAATTTGAAGTTCCAAACATTTTAAAGCAAACCTTGATAATGCTAGGTAATGACATGAAGAAACTCATATAGACTGTAATCTAAAACACCCAGTATAGATACCTAAAATTCATAAAGAGAAAGGTGCAGCTCTTTGATGGCAGACTTGCTACAACAAAACTCTCACCACAACCTCTTAATTTATTTGAATGTTGCACCTTTCTCTAAATGTTGACAAGTGATTACAGAAAAAGCCTAAAAATAAGTTGTAACCCCAGTCATAAGAATAATTTCTAAGAACCTGCTTTGTGAGGTAAGACTACCCACTCTGCTCTTTCACCCTTCTCACTGCTGAGCTAGAAACACTATCTTGATGTTATTTATATATTATTTACTAGGCCACATTTTGGTTCAGAAACTGCCGTGTAACACTTTTAAGCTCTTTAGCTACGTTCAGTACTGAAAAGGAAATCAAATACTGAAAAGGAAATCAAACACACAGACATATAATAAACTGAGTAATTCAGGTAACAAGTAAACGATTTACTGAGCAACTTAAATTTATTCATATTTACTTCGATGTTTTTTTTTCTAATAAGCTAACACACAATTTAGGATCTCAAGATCAGCTGAAGAAAAAAATATTTTCTACTTTTAAGTGTCATACACAAACTATCAAATAACGGACTGAACTTTTGTTTTTAAATTCATAATTAAGAATGAAATTATGCTCAAGCTTATAGGTACAATTTTTAATAAAGGCATGCCCAACACATGTTTAACATAATCCTGAGATCTATCCTGATCACACTGGAACTGTACAAGGCACATTAAGCCTGATAATGCACAAGATAATGCTAGGTAACCATGTGAAGCCACAGCTATACAGGATTATTTTAAAATTCCCTTACATAACGATGATTAGCTACGTGGCAACCCCAAAGCATAAAACAAAATCAAAGTTATGATGAATTTTATTCCAAAGAACAAAAAAGTCATGTATTTTTTACTTTCTCATAAAGTAATTTTAATAACCAGTCAGCTACGGAAATTTAAACTCACTAGCCTACTCAGTCGTTTAGTGATTAATCCCTTTGAAGGTCTAGTTACTCAAAGTTATTGCTTACTTATTTAAAGCAGTCCTATAAAATACTAAAAGAAGAAGGAGATGACACTTTTCTAGAAAAAAATATGGTCTCTGAATTAAGGAAGATAAAGCAGTTACAGTTTTAGTACTACGTTTCTGATGACTAAAATTATTTTAGAATCCTATTTTCAAGCTATGTATTTTTGTTCCAGTAGAACACAGACAAGAGCACCTTGTTTATTTCCTTGAATGAAAGTAAGATATATTAAAATTCTGATAATAATTCCACATCCTAAGAGGATGGAAACCCAGCTAACTTCAACATTTTCTATGCAAATCTTATACCATCCAGGACTAACTGTCTTACGCAGGGGTCCTAATAACATGCCCTTTTTTCTACCGCACCCATAATTCATTTGGATTTGTGCTGAAAAATAAGTCAAGGTGATTCAAGTAACATACCTGCTTCCAAAAGTGACGGAACAGCCTGGCATGTGGAAAGTCACAACATTATCAATTCACTATTTTGATATCTTCATGCCAATGCAATCCAAAGAGAAAGAAGTGCCACCAGAAGCCCTGTTCCACTTAAAACGGCTGCTGCTTTTCATCCTTCACATGCAGGGTTAAACAGGTCAGTGGAGTCTGATTACTCTTTTTGTTTGTTTGCTCAGTATCCAATTGGTTCTCTCTCAGGAAGACTATGAAAGAATAAATAAAACATTCATGAGACAGGCTGATATATCTGAGACCAAAAATATAGCATGTCCATATATTTAGTTAGCTGTTCTCTTTACTCTTGATGTGGTCTTGAATTTGTCCTTTTTTTTTTTTTTTTTTTTTTTTCTGATGCAAATATATTAAATTTGTTTAACAATACAACAGTTTTGCCCTAAATTTCACTTCTGAAACTAGTTTATTCAGTTTATTATGTAGTCTCTTTCAGAACAAAATTAACTGAAGACCCTTCAGGTCACCTGAGTTCTTGCAATATTTTATATTAAAGCAGAAGTGAGGTTGCAGAGTCTGCTTCTCTGAAGATATTTAAGGCCCGTCTGGATGCCTACCTGGGCAGCCTGCTCTAAGGAACCTGCTTTGGCAGGGTGGTTGGACCCAATGATCTTTTCCTCAAACTTATATCATTAAAAAGTCTGGAGAAGATTGTAAATACCACTATGGTGTCCTCCATAGGCTGCAGGGCAATACCTGCAATACCTGCCCTGCAGGTATATAGTACCACCTCCACCTCCTTCTCTGAACTTGGTGGTTGCAGGGATGTTTTTCACATTTTTTTTTTCCTCAGTCCTCCCTGCCTTGCAGCATTTTCTTCTTTGTTAAATATGTTTTCCCACATGTGCTACCATCTTGGCTAATGGGCTGTGTCCTGTGGCAGGTCCATTGCAGAGTTCTCTTCCCAGAGGGGCTTCCCTGCAGCCACCCACTACCAAAACCTTTCCACAGACACCCAGTACAATTTTGTATAGACTAAAATTCTGACAGTGGATTCAGGGAGCTCTATAGCCCAGTAAAGTCTGCTTTGGCAAGATTCAGTTAGTGAGTTTGTGCTTGGATTCTACTGGAAGACTTGAACTATCAATCAATAGATTTTTGAAAAACAAGCATAACTAATTATGAACATATGAAAAGACTATTTTTGAACGGAGAAGCAACAATGAAACAGTTGATCAAAAAAAAAGTATTTTTAATGATTTTTAATGTGAAGCATGAGATTTTAACATTTCTTTTGTTCTTAGCTTGTACTTTCTCATAAAGTAATTTTAATAACCAGTCAGCTACAGAAGCCCCATTCTCAATTGCTAAGAGTGTCTATTCCTCAAATTTCAGCTTTGGACAAGGAAAAAGCAAGGCACATTTCAATCTGAAATATGTTTTTCACAGTTATGAGAAATAAAAATAGCATATATTTTCTAGGACATTAAAAACAGAGTAGGTACAGCTAATCCTATTGTGTTGAAAGAACACAATACAAGATTACAATCATCATACTTGATCTCAAACTTTGAAATAACAATCATTATTCCAAAACAAAACAGAACAAAAAGACTTTATAATGGTAAGACAAAATTGAAAGGAAAAATTATAAAAGGAAGAAAATAAAATCACTTTAAGGTTATCCAGATTCTCCGTACCTATATATATCCTATTATCAAAAGAAAGCACCACTCTGCAGTCTTTTCTCATGTGCTATTCTGCGTGAAAACAGCTCCCTCTGGTGTGTTAATATTGCTTTGTAACCTGTGCCATTTTTCTCATAAGCATTCTTGTTTTGTTTGAAGGAATTGAAAACTATATCTGCAAATCTATTTTTTTCCCCTTGTGGATCATAGGTACATATCCTACATGCATTCTAAACCTTTTTTAAAAAAAATCAAACCCTAATGAATTGCCGTAACTCTTTCTTCAGATCAGCTATATAATTTAGAAGAATAAAACATAACATTAAATACCTATTCACGTCTCTCATTCGTTATTACTTTTTGTATCATAACACCTGGTTATCTAATAGCCTACCATGACACCACTATGGCAGGCAATGAAAAACTGAGACAGTCCTTGTCCCAAAAGACCTGTATCTAAGTAAGTCTTACTTACATTTTTCATTTCATTTATATGCTGTGTGCATTTCAAAACAGACAAATCATAACACGTCTGGAAATGCAAAGCTGCATATCAGCCTATAAAAAATTTGACACTTGGCCCAGACTGAGCAGGAGGTCCAGGGTTGCTTCAGAAGCCTACAGCTGCACAGAGCTAGGGGTTGAAGAACTCTGAGTCACTCCAGTCCTTCCACCCACTGCTCCCTCCTTTTCCTGGCTCACAGCAAGTTCAGAAGTAAGAGCCTGGAGCTGAAAGACTGGTAGGTACACATACATGCATGAAAGGACTGGCACCATTGCTCAACAATGGTGTGAATTTTTAGCTTCCAAGACAAGGAAAGGCAATTTTTAAAACCTGAACTGTTTTGTCAGTTTGCTGAATCTGGTGTTGATAATATT